TTTGCGCGGGATAAGTGGCTCAAGCCAGGAGAGAATGCAGTCGTTCTTTGTTGTTTTTGTTGCCGGTTTGTGGATTTGTTGTTATTTTGCGGTGGGAGAAGGGTTGGATGTGTTGGAGTGCAGCAGTTGGTGGTGCTGCTAGTTACTAGTTCGGTTTTACAAAGTGCATGAGATGGGGTCTGGTCCCCCAAACCATGGTGAAGATCCAGCTCTAAGAGCTCGGAGAAACACGGAGATCCATGCAAAATCCGACAGATCCGAAACAGATCCGAAGGAAGACACGGCACCTTCGGTCCCACGTGGTGGTTCCAGACCCAGATGACTCGGTCCCATGGGATGCACCGACTGTAGCCGATCCGAGACTCGGGACCGCACCGCAGATGACTCACGTGGGGGTGTCCAGAAGACTGAGATGATGCGATCTGGAGAGGTGACATGAGGTGACCGAAAAGCCACCAACCAATGGGGTTTTGGATAACCTTTTTGGTGTATGGATTCATGCAGCATCGATTGACTGGGACTCGAGTTTGGAGCAAGCTGACACTGCCAGAAAAAGCCTCTTTGAGGACTCCACGTCGCTGTTGTGTCATCAAATTTGGAATGAAGGAACATACCAGGAGCATCCGTTCGGAGTGCCTAATGGACTGCCCTACACAACTTCTGGATCTCCAGACAGGACACCCTGACAGGATGGTTCAGGGAACTACATGTGGTCTTTCTCCACGGGTTTCTTTTGTTGAAGGAAGCCATTGTTTGCTTCCTCAGACGGCATGGTTTTTTCACCACTGGGAGCCCAGTGTGACATGGGGTTGAAGAGTGCTAAGTATGTGGGAAAAGGCTTTGCTGTGCAATGTTTCCTTCAGGAGGGCAGATGTTTCCTGATCGTGCCCGGCTACTTATGGCGGGGATCGAGGATGCAGACTACAAGGAGGAGAAGCTTTTTGGTTGGAGAAATGGATTTTGGGGATGCAGCTTGCTTCGACTTGCTTGTTGTTGCTGGCTGTGCGGAATTACTGGGTAGAGGCATTCTAGCAGGGACATTGTTGAATTGACAATTCGAAACCACGTGGAACGACCAAACACTGGAGATCTGGGTTTTGGTGTGTTTTCGTGAATGATTGTTCAGTGACAATATGCGAAGTCGAATCCAGTCCTGCGGGAGGTGAAACGAGACTGTACTTTTGGATGGTAAGTTGATTGGATGTTCCTGGATGCTTTTGGGAATCCTTGTGGGAGTCTTATTTGCCGGTATGAAATGGTGCAAAGTATAGGCAGGCGCATAGCCGGCATAGGTTGTCCATGCTTTGCTAAGACATGCAGGCTCAATATTTCGCAACACACCAGCTAGGTGGCATGTTTGTTGTGATATCACTTTCAGGGTCCAAAAGACAATTTATATATCCGGAAGACCTGGATTAGTACTATATGTTGTCACAGAAATCCATTGGATTTCTGAAACATAAATAAGCTCACAGCCCTTGGCCAAGGGCTTGCTCAAGCATTCCACATCGTCCATATGTAAGGATTTTTTGACTGCTGCAATGAGTACCTGTTGTCTTAATCTTTCAATATTATTGAGGGATTCAACACCGAAAATAACACGGAGAGTTGCAGATGTCATTCCTTCAACTGTTTCTTGTCATTAAGATGAAGCATGCTGAACCTTTGCTTTCATCTAAGTTCTGTATTGTTTCATCAAAGCCATGTGCCTTGTAGTTGTTTTGCGAATTACGTGGCGCAACTCGCGTCATCGCCGAGGCTTGGTGCCTGGTGCCACGTCCGCGGCTTCGACTTTTCGCCTGTCGCAGAGCTGGTGTGGGCCCTGGGAGGTTGAAACCATGGTTGAAGAAATGCAGCTAATGCGACTCATTGCATTAAGCATATCCAACATTACAAGATTCCAGCCACCGTTACCACCCAGGTTCGCGTCAATTGTTTCAAGTTTCTTGATTCTATAGGAGAAGGACTTTGCTCAAGTCGATCACGGTGAGTCAGTTGGATCTGGTTCACCTCACCGGTCGATCCGGAACCGCCTCGGTTCCGGGGCAAAAAACACCGATGTCGGGTTCCGAAGCTACCAAAACAGCTGATGGCCAGCTGTTGAAGGACTCAATTGGTGCCAATTGATTATTGAGTTTGCTGTTAAGCTTTGTTGGGTATGATTGCCCCCCTCCACCAACACCAAAAAAGAACTCCAGTTTTTCAGTCCGGACAAGCCAGACAAGCCTGGGGCCACCTCATGGAGTCATCCCTCAAAATCACCCGGCCGAAGCCGTCATCGAGTCATCGAGGCACTGCAAGAGCCCTTGTCCGAGATCGTGGATGCTTCTGCGATGGTGACCTCCCGTCAATGCGTCGGGGCACCCGTGCGCGTTTGCCGCCCCACAGCGAAAGGGGGGGGCTAGCAAAGAACGGAAAGGGGGGGCATGGCTTATTTTGTTTCACGGTGTTCTTTGATATTCTATGATTCTATTATGTCTAACTCGTTGGTGAATTTGCCTATAATTAATTGGTGCGAGGAGGCTTGAATGGCCAGCGAGCTGAGCTCGGGCCGTTCTCCTTGGCCCTGGGCTTAGGCTTGGCTGGGTCAACTGCGACACCATGGTGTGAGGAAACTTCACAGTTGGTGAGGACATGTTTCAGGACATCCATCCACTCTGGGTTGAAGCGGGTCTCCAATGTGTCAATGCGGGTGCGTTCATTTTCGGGGCCCTGTCCCGAACCTTCCAGGCGGTCGGCGGTCGTTGCCTGGGAGGTCTCTACTGGAAATACACCACCCATATGAATCATCTGATGTCATTGTGACCCGAGAATCGTCCATGGTGTGACGATCAGGCTGACTTCTTCGGCTCCTCAAATCGAACCGCGGAGCGGAAAACTCCAGAGACCCCGGCGATCAAGTGCGGTGTGAAATCTGTGGTCTTAAGCTTGCCGTGATGCTTTTTTTCTTGAGATGCTCGAACACCCCTCTCATTTTCTTCGAAGGCATCAGAAAGAATGGCATCGGGCCAGCAGGAGTGTCAGCAGGTGACGTGGAGAGGGCTTCGTCCCCTCACTTTCTTCCGACCGGTGACCGAGGTCTTCCAGATGGACCTCACCACGGTCACCCGACACTTGGCGGTCTCACCAAGCAGATCCGAGCAGACAGCAGACCTGGGTCCGAGACACTGAGACCAGAACCGAGACTTGGTTTCCCTCAAAAAAGTTAAGTCCAGTTATTCTACTGTTCTACTGTTCTACCACTTTTTCTACTGTTTGGAACATGGTAGAATAGTATGTTCCTGGACTTTTTCTTGGAGTAGCAGCTTTCAACTGGCTGGGAGCGAGGGTTTCACAACTGCCGAACTTGGTATGCAGATGCTTTTCCACGTGGGTACATGGTGTGGGAGTTCCTTTGAGGTGCTTTAAGGGAAACAACTTAGTCATAGTCATATTATCATATATGCAGCTAGCCGCAGCTAGCCATTTCCACAAGGGTTGTGTGGAAGCGATGGTAAGCTGCCTGCTAGCTGCTAGCGTGGAACATGTTCGTGTTGAACCTTTTGACAGACTGTGATGGTTGATTTTTGTTGCATGCATACGAGGGGAAAATATGCTAGCTCCTCAACTACTGAACAGATCTGAAAAGCACAACACCCAAAGCTCCTCACGCGCAAAGTTTCGATTCGTCATCCCAAGAAGAGACAACTCCGGGCTCATTGCTGCACAAGTGGACGATGTTTTCTGAAGACGAAGGACCAAGGATGCTGTGCGCCAGGCAGATTTGGATCTCTGTTTTTCACGATGTTTGTGTTGGAACTCCTGGTTTTTCAAGCATTGCTGGTTTCGCCCGAAAGTCGACGTTTTCCGAGGCATTCCTGATAACGTCAGCGCAAAATTGGATTTCGTCAAAGCACGAGGTGGTCAACCAGTCGGAGTCTAAACGTATTTTGGTGGTCCTCAGTTCAACAAGGCGACTTCCTGCGTCAATGTGCAGGTCTACAAGAGGGAATCCACCATAAAGGAGTCCTGCATAAAACAATCTGGGCAGGGACACTCACTTCCCACATTTTCCCACCACCCAATCGTAACAACAAAACCATGCAAGAACTAATTCAAGTCTTGACACCATGCCACACTTGCAAAAGAGAAGCTGACAACCTATCAGCAACGGAAAGCAGCTATTGTAAGTGGTCGAGGCAACAAAGAATAAATTATCCCAGCCCCTCCACACCCCCACAGCCTGACAAGATTGCACAACTCATTAGGCTGGTGGAAGAAAAATAACCTCACAGAAGTGGGACCATTACACCTGCTGAAAGGGAAGTCTTGACAGTTCTACATGATAGATGATGTTTAGCTCAAACCAGGGTCACAAGCATATGAGCATATGTATGCTTGTGCATCACATGTAAAATGTATACAACACGTATCAGACAGTATATATATATATTGTACTTATGTGTATATATATATATAACCTTCATAGGTTGATCACTGTCCTTCATGTTCCACATAGGATTGCTCGCTCCCAACCTGAGGGGCTGAATTGGACTTTGTCGCGCAAGGGGGGCCCAGAGATGGGAGATGTCCGGGCGAACCGATTTGGGATGGTTTAGGTACAGGTGGGTCATGAGCAAAGACCTACGGAGGTTATTGATGCAGACGTTTCTGGCAGGTTTCCGGTCAAAAACCACAGAGTTCTATTCACTGCTCAATGGCCACGTCGGTTGGATGGCGCCCGGCGTTAAAGCCATATCATAGCGTCTTGTGGAGGGGTCATGAAGTTTCAGTAAGACAGCATTGCGTTGGCAACCTCCTCCCGCGCGAAAGCCCGAAAGGGTTGAAGAGCTTTGACATGAATTGAACGTGTTCGCTCTATGTGCTATTCGCACCCTCTCTTTGCTCAAAGTACCGAGTTGTTTGAGGAATGCCCATGGTGAGGGAGTAACGGTTGTTTCGAGCACAACCTCTTTACAAGCATCCAAAGACCGTGATTGAAACGACCCTTGCTCCCTCCAATGCGGCCAATGCTGCAGATCCTTTTCCATATTTGGGTGCATTGCCAAGCAATGCGGCCCGATGTCGCGGCTTCAGACTTGAATTTGGATCTTGATCCTTGGTAATCTCAATATGTGTGGTTGGTTAAGCTTGCGTGTCTAACAAACAACCGGTGTGCGCACCTCTCAAAACCTCAGGGAGTCAATCGGGAGATTATGTTTTTTGTTATTGTATTTGAGCGGTCAACCTTTGAGCATCTCTCAAGTGCACATCGAACAGATTCAGCCAAGGACTCCAGACTGGCAACACAGTTCCATGCGCAGACATCCGCTCTGGATCTGTCGAGCCAGGACTGGTCAATGCAATGGAGCGTTGTTCTTCTGTAGTGACTCCATTGGGGCAGGGCCGGGCAAAGGCACTTTGAGGACGCCAAAGTCACTCAAACTCAAACCCTCATTCGGTTGCTTCACTTCAGGAGCTCGTTGATGAGCGCTTGGAAGAAGCTTGGCAGAAAAACTTCCTGAGCCATTTCATCCTGGACATGTTCAGATTGACATCTCTGAACGGCCATTTCTCAGGCACAAAAGGCCGACACCTTGCAGAAAGGGATCGAAGATTGCAGTGACTCGGCCAACGCAGCTGGAATCAGAAAGAAATGCAAGGATTTATGTAGGACACTATCAGATTCTGCAAATACCCTTGGCAGGCGTCCTTAAGAAGAATTTGTAGTAAGAAGTCGAGACATTCTGGACTGCAGTGTGCATGATGAAGAGCTGGTTTGCAGAACATTCAAAAAGGGTGCTACATCATTTAGTGAATGTTGATCGACTGGAGTGACCCGCTAGTGAACAGGATCAGCTCAACATTGACGAGTCAAACTTATAAGAGCTTCATTTTAACTCCACATAAAATTTGAGTGGGGTGTCTGAGTCATGTCGAATCCACTTTCACTTTCCGGGAAGTAGAACAGTAGAACAGCGGATGCTTTTGCTCTCATTTTCGCGGAGTAGAGCGGAGCTGCTTTATTTTCCTGTGACACATAGATGTCCTGTGACACAAAGGCTCTGCGGAGACCGTACGAAGCATTCTAGAGACACTGAGATGTCCAGGAGATCTGACAGGACAGGAGATGTTTTGGCGATGGAAAACGTGCTGTCGGGTGTCTTGTATGGGACATGTGGGACATGTGGGCTCCGTGATAGGTTCGGGGTTGGACAAGGATAATTTACATGTCGCTACGTACAGATGTCATTGTGTTTCGTTCAGTGTTTCTTGCCCCAGCTTGGTGATCTCCACTGGGTTTTTCCAGGATCGGACTTCTGCACATGGCCAGGGATTGTTTGCAAGGGCTGCTACGTAGTCAAGGTCGAATGCGGCTTGGCAATTGAGTTTCAACTTTGGGATTTATTGAAGGAAGTCCTTATTTCCACGATGAGTTTGTGTCTTAGTCGTTTGTTGAGCTGTTTAAGTGAGATGCAAGGTAAGCAGGCGGACGGACGTTTACCACGGGACCTTCACCGATTAAGCCATCTTCAGCAGCTGCAGCTCGAATCCACCCAAGTCACTGGAGACATTCAAGCCGTCCAAAATCTTACGCGGCTGCAGAGGCTCAACATCGCATTCACCCGAGTCACAGGAGATATCGAAGTCTTCAAATCCACACCCCAGCTCAGGGTGCTTAAACTTCAGTCAACCAGTGTCACTGGAGACATTCAGGCCTTCAGAAGCACTCCACGTTTGCAACAGATGTTTCTCTACTTTACTGGAATCACCGGAGACATCGAAGCTTTCAAGAACACATCTGACCTGGTCTATTTAGACCTTGCCGCTACCGGAACCACTGGCGACATCGCAGTCTTTGGAGGCACTCCTTTTTTGCAAGGTCTTGTTCTCTATTCAACCAATGTGATTGGAGACATCAAAGTCTTCCAGGAGACTCCATCATTGTCCCACCTGGAACTGTGGCCTACAAAGGTCACTGGCGACCTCAAAGTGTTTGAATACACTCCGAATTTGTGGCATGTTGTCCTATACTCCACGGGAGTCGCGGGTGACATCCACGTCTTCGAAGAGAAGACGTATCTGGAGGAGCTTCAGCTGGGAAACACTGGAGCATATGGAGACATCCAAGTCTTCCAAGACGTTCCACGTCTACAGACCTTAAACCTCCGGTCCACGAACGTGACAGGTGACATGCACCAGATCCGTCTATGGCGTGATGTCAAAACCGTGGATCTATCGAAGACCCTGGTCAGTGGTCGCATTGACCGAGCATGGCGCGGCTGTTGCCAAAGTCTGCAACGATTGAATTTGGCCGTTGCTTGGCTCAGTGTCGTGTTGTGTCGCCGGGGCACGGGGCACTTGGGTCGAAAGTTGAAGGTGTCGGCTCGGGTGGTGTGAACTAAGGAATCCAAAGTGAGCTTCTTGCCGACGGGGAATGATGCACTGGAGCTCATGAAAGTTAGTTCCTCTGACTTAGACGGCTTTCTTCCGGCATTAACCAGCCTGGATGTTGGAGCCTTAGGCGTTTTCATGCAGTCTCGAGTGGCTGGACAATCAACCCCTACTTTGATTGATACGCACTTGGATGAAACCGGCATCAGTAGTTCTCACATTCGCATACATTCACCATCACAAACTACACCAAACTTCAGAAGGTGGCCCTCAGGATGAATCATCTCGCCTGTACCACTGGCTGAGGTGAGCAGATGTCTTTTGCATGGAGAACTGCAGCAACTTATTCAGCCTCTCATGGAATGCAAATTCCTTTCAAAGATTGCGGCGGCAGGATGCAATCTGACAGGTGAGCTCGTGCCTACCAGTATTTTTTACAAGGATGGTTCTCCCCGCTATTATAAATATGCCTCGCTGTGGTCCTCTTTGGTGAGTCTTGACATCTCTGCTAATACAATCAAAAGAGTGGGTGGCTTGCCAATCTCCATCGTTAGCATAGACCTTTCGAACATGTCCAGCGAGCTGGTGATGGACCATGGCATCCTGGCAGCCCTTGTGAACCAAAGGGTCCGAGCCAATTTGCGGATGACCGTTCTGAAGGGCGACGAGCCAAAGCAGTTGATCCAAAAAGGTTTGCTGAAAGCTACTGAACGATGGGTGACCTCAGGTCTTGGATACTCATGTCACAACTTGGTGGGCTCGACGATGGATGTGACCCCTGAACGGTTTGCTCCTGAGCTGCTGTGTGGGTGTGCACGCGGGTATTCTGGCCATGGCACCACCTGTCTTGCCTGCGAGGCCAACTTCTTTAATCCTGAGCTGAACCAAAGCCAATGTCAACGATGCCCTCCAAACAGCAGAAGTGATGCAGGGTCCCCGAGCCTGCAGTCGTGCCAGTGTTCCATGGGGAACCCATACAACGGCAGCAGGGGTCTCACATGCGCTTGTGGCGACGGAGACGCTTTGCTGGGCGATGACTGTGTCTCCTGTGAAAAGCTCAATCTCAAGTGCATGGGCCATGGGAACAGCGCAGCGACAGCTCCACCAGCAGCGTCCTTCATGCGGTTACGCCCCAATGCTAGTGATGTCTTCCAATGTGTCGATCCTGCTGCCGTTCGATGTCCCGAGAATGTGTCGATGTCGGGCTGCGCACCGGGAGCCTTAGAACAAATTGAGTTGCAGTGGACCTCGAATGAATACCAGGCTTGGTAATGAAAGGGAGCACTACATAATGACCACGGAGGAAGAAGCCCCTTCCTCCAGAAGGTCAACGAGGTTTTGGGCCACCTCCTTTTGACACCTACACAAATTTGTATTCCTTGGGATTGTTCTGAAGACTAATCATGACTAATCTGTTCACGGGAAATTCTCCCCCAAGACTCAGAGATGGGATTTGCTCAAATTGTTGCAGCAGCAGTGGCTGACTAGTGAAGGGGGGACACTTGGAATCCTGATTGGGAGATACATTTGCTGGACCCAACCACCTGTTTGCCCAATGAAACAAACCTGAAGTGCAACTGCCAAAGAAAGTAATTAAATGTAATTAGATTAACTAAAATCATTGATAGGTGGAGGTTTGTTGCTTCTGGCTTCATGCTAAATGAACATATTATGACTCATGACTGTAACTTGATAGATAAATTGTTCCTCCATGTCATGTGTGCAAACACTTGGGACGGAGCAGTCGTGACTGAGGATACGACGGCCCTCTTTGCGTGCTTTGTGCTCAGGGTTTTCAACCCAGAGGCAAGACTTGCCAACCCTGTGCCAACAGCCAGACTCCTTACCTACTTTGGTTTGGCCTTTTGGGGCTTGGTGACATTTTCTTGGCAGCCGCCTATGCCTATCGGAGGATGTGGTGGGATGGTCCAAAGGTTGAGGGTTTGGGGACCAACCCACACTGTAACAATGCGCAGGAATAAAACACACTCATCACGGTGTTGAGTATGTTGCAGTGCTGCCCAACTGTGCAGGAGGGGTGACCTTCATCGTGTTCAGGAGCTGGACCAGCTGTGCTTTGAACATTTGATGAGTTTATTGAAGGAATGCTGAATCCAGATCATGTTTTGTGTTTGCCCGAAGGGACATGACATGGACTTTATCCTGGGAGACAAACAACTCCACAAATTGGTGGCACCAGGTGAACTGAGGGTTCAATGTGTTCGAAGGGCTGGGTGGTGATGTATTGAAGACTATCTCCACGCCAACACAGATTGTGGATAATGTTGTGGCAATCTCACTCCACGTTTCCGCGTGATCGGATCTTGGAAGTCAGACATCGAATCCTCCGCGGATTTGACAGGAGACTGGAGCAGCTGCAGTCCTGATGCAGCTCCTTTCTGCACAGGCTGGTGGGGTCAGCGAAGTGGAAAGATATATAGAATATAATAGACTTAAGCAAATCTTTTTTCGACCAAAAATACTGTAGCAACATGATAAGAATAGAATTTCTTTGAAGAGGCCATATACATCCATGTACCAACAAGGTTTCTTGGGCGGATGCCCCTTGGGGCATCGCCGTGCTTTCTTCGGGTCCTGCATCCACCGTTGAGGCTTCACTCCCAAGTGAAGCCTCATGCGTTTCCCGGAACTCACAGAACTGAACTAGAACAGTCCATTGGTCATTCTTGGAGGCTGAAAGACATGATGGGAGATCCAAGGGCTGCCACATGCCGCCATTTGTGCTTGGACTTCTGGGCTGGTTCTCTCAACACCATGTTACAATGCAAAACATGACGTACTATTGAGGTGCTTTCAACCCCTCACTTGCCTATCATATCAATGGCCTCTTGATCAAAAGATAACTATATACCCCAACACATCAATAGAGAAAACCATATTTCATATGTTTAAAAGAGAACACCATATACTATATAGCCCCTCCTCTTAGGTGTTCTTTCATCCATTTACATCATATTTCCAAGAACACCTCGTTGGAACATGGCCTCCTCAGACCTAAGAGGAGGGGCTTCAAAACCATCCTTGGTAGGGTGGAGTCCACCTCTGAACAGGAGGAGTGTCAATGAATTCACGATTGTCCGAGGCCCCGATGATGCTTCAGCTGGTCCAGCTTTGGGTGGTGCTGTCCTGCCTGGCGAAGGACGCGGTTCCCGCGAGACAACCTGCCGTGGAACGGCAGATTCACCGGCAACCCGGTTGGGGCGTCGAAGAAGGTCTATGCGGCAACCGCTGGTGAATTCCTGAAGGCTAAAGGAGGAAGTGGAGTTCCTCAGGAATTGATGATGGAACTCCACACGGACATTAGCCTTTGCATGTCTTGTCAGGAGGGCTTGGATACCGAAGTGAAGAAGGGGCAAGGTAGTTTCACCTCTCACTTTCCAGATCCTTGGCACGGAATCAGCTGAGGAGCTTCAAGGTCAGTAGAGTTGGCTTGGATGGATGGGTTTTGGATGGTTTTGTGATGTGTTGTTTTTCAGTTTTCCTGACACCACTGGGGAAGCTCCATGTTCCATGTAAGGAGTATGGGTTTCCCATATTATGGATGTTTTCCTGACAACTCTATTTCGAGTAGCTTTGCTGTTGCTGCGATGCCAAGGAGGTAGCCTATCTTGAGACCTTGGAACTCACAGTGGACAGCTGGCAGGCACCTTGTGTTTCTCCAAAGAGAGCCATACGAATCAACATTTAGAAAGCCTTGTCTTCCTCATCCTGTCAGGAGTGGTTCAATATTCAGTGCTTCTTTGATCCTGTAGTCATTCACTCGGCCTCAGCATTGGCAGCACCGCTTCTGCCACTGTTTCTCGCTAGCACATCATAGCACAATCAATTGCATATAAGTAGTGTCAGAGTAGATGGCACAAACCGTAACCCCATGATGTCTTTTACTGTAGATTGGGGTCCATATAAACCACCTTGTGGGGTCTGTGCTATCTCAATCCACTATAAGTGTTTCAGGGCGACTCTTTGCTTATTGTTCCAATCCGACTCTTTGCTTTCAAATAGCGACTCTGAGCAACTCCAACTTGTTGTGATGAACAACTGTGCAAGCTTTGGGTTGTGCTCCATCGCTGCATATGCTGGTTGAGCATGCTCTTTGCACAACATCGCGGGTCCTTGATCTGTAATTCTCCTGGCATTACCCAAGCTGAGGCTTCTCCTGGGCTTGTGCGCTATGATCGAGCTCTTTTCACGAAGTGATGGAGACAAGACATGCAAGGAACCTTTGTTTTGCCATGTTTTGCCAGGGATTGGTTTCATGGAAACCAGCCTCTCCGTTGGACTTTAGATAGTGATCCTGTGTTTTTTAAAAGGAAGGATGGGGTGTGTCCCATCCTGCTTGGTGCCAAGGAATCAATCTGGCCTTGAAGATGCTAACACTCTTCTTTATTGGAGGCGTCCGGAAGTTGCTCTGATCATTTTGTGTTTCTAGTGTCAGTTTTTTTGTTTACCTGGGCAATCTAAACCTGTGAACATATCTCGGACAGCGGTATTATGTCTTTGCTGGATTTTGAAGGAGCGTCGAGCTCAGCGAAGCTTCTCAATTGCCAAGACTATGATGGGGGAGGCCGGCCTCATCCTGGTTGGGTGGGAACAGCAGAGCTTCAGGGCCCGGAGTTGTTGGAACTTGATTTGTTTGAAGCCCAACCGAAGGTGATCAGAAAACATGTTTAAAACACTCGTAATAAGAAGGATGGTGCCCAAAATCAATCTTGGTATCCTGCATATTGTTGGTGTGTCGCAACATCACGATGAGTGGGTGCAGTTCCTCACATCACACATCACATCATCTCACATCTCACATCCATAGTTTGACCATCAGGTGAAAAGAGTCTGGGAGAGGACTCCTTTCGGCCTTTGTTCCCACATCTCAAGTGCAATGACTCCAATGGCTTGGCGCTTTGGGTCCCCTGGCGTCACGCGACACGGGATGGATGGATTTGTGGACGACTTCAAGCGATCCAAAGCAAAGGACACTCTGGAGAGAAGATGCAATAGACATCAATAGACAAGCAAGTGGATATCCAGGTTGTTTTTTGCCCAGCCAGGGGGGCGAATGCTCCCAATGCTCCGCCTGGAACGATTTGCCTCGAGGTCAGTGCTTACCTTCGAGAGGGATTTAGTTTGATCCCCAACCTGATGAACATGTTCCACAGCAATCTTCCACAATATCTCAAGATTTGATATATGGTCGTTGTCGTTGTCGTTGTTGTTCAGTTTGGTGTTTCCGCACTGCTTTTATGCCCCACTGACATCCACTATCCTTTCCAAGCTACTGATGCCATCATCGAAAAGCGTCTTGCACACTCAGGTCGACGGCATTGGATACGCCACGGTTTTCGCCTATGGCATGGTGATCCCCATGTTCTTGCTGATGGTCATGGCGCGACAGCACCTGGCTCTCCAAGAGAGTCGACTGCTGGTGGCCACCGCCGATATTGGAAAACACACCCGGGCCCTGCGCATCGAGCGGCTCCGGCGAACCAGCGAAGAGACTCCGGAGCCGACAACCGAGCTCGGTGCCGGGCTGAAGGAGTGGACTGGTGTTATTGGACACGGTGATGGAGGGCTCTCACTGAGCAGAAGTGCAGATCAGGGGCATCAGGGGTGTTTTTCTACTTATATGTCTCATAGTCTATTGCATGTGGTTTAACAATAGAAGTCGTGTTTTTGCATGTTTTGCAACGACATGCAACGACCATTTGTAAATCTTCGACCGGTGACACAGATGCTGAACAGGACGATGTGCTTGCACGGCGTTTACTGGCAGCTGCTGCGGTCCACATGGCTGTGGAGATGCGAGGGTCAAAGGTGCAGGTGGAGCTGAAGAAGGATTTGGCGAATCTTGGAAGTTCATTTGAGTACCGTATTGCATTTGTTTGTCGATGACTGAGTTTGCATAAACATGGAGCTGTATTTGATGCTGCTTCCACAAAAGACTCCACTCATTTGGAAAGATGTCGGAAGAACAATGAAGAACTTGAGTGAGGAATTTGGAATGGTTATGCAACAATACTGTCTTGAAAGGTGCATTGGAACATAATGGATAACCAGGAACCCTACTCAGCAACACGGAAGTGGATATGGACCTAGGACCTTAGGAATACACATGTTCATCTACAATCATGGCCTGGCATAGCCTAACATCTGTATGTATGTATATATATATATTCTGCCATAGAAGTATAAGCATTATAGTTAACTTTGGGATCCCTGTGCTTTATGATCTTTTGGTTTTGTGCCATTCATAATGATTTCTTTGGAATCAAGGTTTGTTGACCCGGGTATGTAGGGAGGGACCATCGATTGTTTGGAAACCAATGGAAATTGAATAAAATGGAAGGGCCGTCGTTCTTGAGTTGTGGCTTGGAACCACTCGATTCCTGAACTTACTCTTGAGAGTGAAGGAAGGTCAGATTGAGGTAACTGCCCATCCACTGACTGCTTATGTGGCTTATGTCTTCGTAAAGCATGAACCGTACACTGTCTCATCAGTCATCAGTGACCCATTCTGGCTGGTTTTCAGGATGGTGACCGTGACTCCGTTGAACGCAGCGAGCGATGAGGATCAGGCAGATTCCGCTGTTGATGCGCCTTGCTTGGGAGAGAGGGGTCCTTGCTTCTGTCAGAGAAGCTCTCAGAGAGACCAGAGTAGGGTTATACTCCGACTCACTAAAATGCAAGTGGACGGCATGTTCCCTCCGATGATCGTGAACTCGTGATGACAGTTGTTTTCACTCCACTTCCATGTGATGTGGTCAGAGCGGGAGTGGACATGCTGGAGACATTCATGCTGAAAGACAATGCTAAAAGACCTGAGGTGAGTGAGATGTTGGCATCCATGGTAGTGGTCCAGGAGAATTTGGCTGCCCTCCGAAGCCGCACGGCACCTGGGCAGCAGGGTTTGAGCACATCCAGACCTGGCCCAGGCCTCGAACGGCCAGCAGACTCATTAGTCCAGTATGACTTGGCAGGAACCGCGCAGGGCGTTGACCAATACTTATTTTGTATATAGACTCTAGACATAATTAGACATAGACATAGATATTTCATGATAGTTCAAGTGTCCTGTTCTGGCGATGGTGAGGGGTTTCCAAGTTTGGACGTTTGGCATGTTTATCGGGAGCTGGGAATGTTGTCACTGGGACCGCGGAATTGGCACAAGTCGGGGTATGAGCTTTGAGTGACGAAGACCTCCTGAGTGTGGTTTGTTGGCCCTGTATAAATACCACCTAACCGCCTTTTGTATGGGTATAGTCAGAGTGTATCGAATAATGATGAACTTGTTTTCCAACCCCCAAACCAACCAGTAGAGTGATTAGTGGCGAGAGATGACATGATGCCCACAACAGACGACTCTGAGGTGATGCAAATGTTGACAGAGCGGAGCATGCTCCAAGACGAAGTTTCAGATCGCGGCTTGGTGGCAGCTGGACTCTGCATGTTTCCTCTTGGGGTAGTTGTTGATATACAGCCGTCCCCACTGGACCCAGTAGTGACAATAGCTTGCTTGTAACCGCTGACCACCAAAGACTCCCAATGCCTGATAATGTGGTTTTGGAGGGCACTGATTGTCGCTCTAAACGGTCGATTTTCTCTCTAAACCGGTGTGGCAGGAGTCGTGCTGGGCGCGAAGCAGCTGCTGACCAAATACGCGACTCTCTTGCGATGGAGGTCACAACCAAAAGTAGCAAAGCCTGGCCAAGCCCCAGAGATTCACCTAGCCCTTTGAGGTTGGGTGGTAGTTGGGGATGCTTTTTGTTTGGTTTCTAGAAGCTCCAGCTATCTTCTGGGGGCCTCAAGAAGGTACCATGCAAGCCCCTATAGTGGTTTTGGTGATCCGCCACTGGAAGGTTCAATTGCCTCGTCACTGGAAGGTTCAATTGCCTTTGGGGTTAACTTAACCCCAAATAGGAGGCTATTATTGTCCATGAGTATCATTATCATGATATATTACGTTGTAAAACTTATACCGCACACATCCTTCCAACCAGTCTGTCACTTGAAGTTCATGTTTGATAATCGTCAATCTAGCTTGTCGTCGAAGACGTTAAGATGGACCCAGACAATCTGCCAGCTTCGTTGGCATGCAGGTTCAACAATGGCAGTCGGATCCAATTCGCTACTTGCAAAGTACTAACATCGAATCTCAATCCTTCCCTGAAGAGTGTACCTGAAGAAAACTGGTTTGGATCAAAAAGCACCAGTGCTTTGAAAGGTCTAGGACTGCACTCACCGCAGGTGACAGGCATAGGCGCTCCATGTGCGCACTCGTGCTTTTCAGGCCATGTGCCAGCATGTGTGGATGGAAGTTGCCTTAAAGCTGGTTGCAGTGGCCTTGGTGTCGGTTTCTTGGATGGGCCTTCCACATCAAACGCGTCGATTTGCATCTTGCGGGGCGCTTTGAATGTTCCTTTTAGCCAGTTTGCCAAACCGGATGATTGACATGACCAAGGTTGCTAGAATGATAGGGCCGGCCATGGCATGGCTGTTGAGGTTGTATCTGCCGACATTGGCGTCACTGGACTCTACTTGGCTCTGGCGCTCACGCTTGGCATGGCCGCAGTCATTGCTATGGTCCATCCTTATTCTCAGCCACAGCTGAATGATGTGCAGTGCCTGTGCTTTGTGAGCCTCTCAGATGCAAAGACCAGAGATGCTGGGCTATTTTTGGACCACATATTGACAGGTCATTTGTGGGTTTCAGATACGCATAAGAGGTCGATGTCAAGAGAAGTCCGTGCCAACTCTTCCAAAAACCACCCACCTTCACTGACCTGGCTGCGGCAGTGCATGGCAGTGCATTGTTTCACTATTTTGTACCAAGTACGGCAGGCCTGGCCTTGTCCGCTGCTGGCTTCCACTATGGCGTGCCCTGGATCTCGCGCCTGGGCCTTGGAGCGCCCTTCTTGCTTTTGTCGGTGCAGGCCGGGCTTGCGCTAGCGCCCGCGGCCACGGGGACTGACAGGTTTTGCAGACATCCACGTAACAAGGCAGGTTTTGTTTTGGTACAGAGGCCATGGTGGGCATGGTGTTCACGTGTCATGCTACACATGTGTTCTTTCAAGGGAAGCATATGACAGACAGCATGTTTGCGTTTGCTGTGCCTGTTGCCCTTTTATGCAGAGACAAGAGGTTCTGGGCGTGTGCGATTTGCGTCATCATGGCCTGACTACAAGGCCATCTTCTCCGTGTCCGTGATGCGGTCGGATAACTTCAGATCTTGCATGAACTCTTCAGATGTCCACTTGTCTTTTGCTGCCCAAAGAGGTCAGTACCGGGCTTTGCTTGGTATGTGCAAAACCATCTGACCAGATCTAAGCTAGTTGCCAAGTGCTTGCTCGAGACTCTATCACCCTTGATAGGTCTTCAAGCCGGACAGCGTGGAAGCCTTAGCTTTGCGCCTCTACGAGGAGTGATTTCGCAAGTAAATGTTTGAGCGTGACGGTCGAATGTAATTGAAAGAAGGGTGCCAAAACCATGAACATCGAGGTGCCAAAACCATCTGACCCCAACCTGCTAGAATTGTGAATCAGTTGAATCATCCGATGTGCTGCGATGCTTTGGCAGGAGTTGAAACACCAGTCGACCGCTTTGCAGCGTGGGCAGCCTGCAGTTGTCTCGGTGTCACTGCGGAAGTTCTTCTGAGTCAAACTCCTCGCCGTTCCGAAGTAACATGAGTTGCCGCGAAACTGCAGTGCAGTTGACCGATGCATTTGGGTGCAAACCGAAAGGCTTGAAAGAGAATTGCGTTCCGGAAAGCTAACAGTACGAATTTGTGCGGAATGACAGGTTTGAGGCACTAGGTTTTCACGGGTTGGGCTTTCCTCTCGTTTTTTGAAAGTCGTTCATTGACCTCGTGCGCTGGGGTTGTAACCAATCATGAACCACCACGGGGATTGGAGAGGCTTCTTGGGTCTCAACTACCCGCGTTAGCAGAGCTTGTAAGTTTGATCAGCAATGGGTGGTGGACCTTATTGGGGGTGAAGCTGAATGGTGTTCTGGCACAGGGTTGAGGGGAGGTTGCGATCTCACAAGGATGCCCTGTGGTAAAAGACGTTTGGCTGCATTTTACTAAGGCTTTCCAGGATTTTTTTCAGTGGTCCTTCTAGTTAAACACCAAGATAGACAAAGGACAACCTCCAAGGAGCATTTTGAAACCTTTTCATTCACATTCTGTTGCATGAGTGAAACTCCTGCAAATCCTCCAAGAAACATCCAGTCCTGCACGTATACACGGAGCAACTCCTTTGGTAGGACCGGTCCATCCGCGCTTTTAGACATCAAACTGGCCGGGCTGCCAGAATCGCCCCAACTGGTCGCTGCCAGAACTCGTCCGCGCCAGACTCGACTCTCTCGCAGGCCTTTCGAGCTTCGAGTGCTGCGACAGGACTTTATCCATGCGTTGGCTGGGCTGCCCAGGTCAGAGCGTCAGTGAGGCAGTGGGTGGTGCAGCAGCGCCGGAGGTTGGTGCTTGGTGCTGGGCTGTTTGGGTCATGTGCTGAACAGTTTTGCAAGTTTCTAGTTGACATTCGGATCTCTTAAGCAACATTGTACCTTTGTGCAGCTAGGGCAGCCAGCGTGTATGATCAACCCTTACAAACCAAGTGGACCCGGCAGAATGCGCCATCGTCGCGTCTCAGGTGGTTTGGTTTGATGTTCACTTTGACGCTTCGGCCACTGTGCGGGATGCCCGTGGCAACGGATGCGAGCGAGGAATCTGCTGGTGGTTTGGGACGATTTTTCGTTGGCACAAGAAATGCATGAAGAGCTGGAATATGCTGAAATACATTGAAAACACGATTTGAGCAGCTACTGGTAGTTGGGCCTCCACGCCTAATCACAACAAAGTTCATCAAATACCTCTAAGGGATTCTGAGGGTATATAAAGTTTACCGGTCTGCTGGCGTGGTTAAAGAGGGAATGGTAGAGAGAGAGAGAGCATATGTCTTTGCAGGACTATAGGGTCTGTAATGGTCTATAGCTTGGGGATAACCTCAATTGCCACTTCAACCCATAGAGGGCAGGTTTCTACCAGGTGAACTTATTCCAAGCCGCGGTTTGTCAATCGTTTCACCCGAAATCAGGCCACGGTGCTCACCACTGCCCCGGGCATGCCAGACACACATTGGAAGCAGACGGTGCGCTGGCAGCATGGGGCGGGAGCTGGTGAGTAGGGACTATTGATTGGAGGAACCTTGAAACCAGTGTTTTTTTTCTACAGTAGTTAGTGTGATTTCTGATGTCAGTGATATTTTTTGGTTCTTGACGTGATTTAACCCCGATGGATCAGGGGTTATTGAGTGAGTTATGATGGTTAGTGCACTAATTTAACACAATAATTGATAATTGCTCAGAATGTCTCTTACATTTGCTCGAAAATGTTTGGACAGTTGAAGAAAAAGTGCCAGATTGACAAATTAAATGTATTTTATATGCCAAAGAATAAGAACTACAACCCTGATCAGTTCTTCCTGGGAGAAACCATGCTCCCCAGATGCCCCAGCAAGGTCTCATCAACCATTGAATTATCGCAATTTGTTTTGCTTGTTGGGGCCAGAACCTGACGTTTATATATATATATTATCTATCTTGTGGATCAAAGCTCTGGCAGATTGAGATGAAACAGCAGAATGGTCGGCAATGAGGACTGAATTATTTTGGTGCCACTTGGTCAATATCTCCTTGTTTAGGGATGTTTCCGGAAGCAAAGATGGTTGACGAGGGGAAGTTCCCATACAAATAAAGACATCCTACAGGCCCTTTCAACCGATAAGCTCGCAAGTGGTTTCGGACTGACAAACGGCAGAAGCCATGGCAGCATCCCATGAAGGCGACCTTCCAAAGGGATCATTCTCTTGGCCAGAACATGCAAACCCAATAACTGGTTGTGAGTGAAGTACAGAGACCATATATATATATGTATATAATATGTATATAATATATATGTGTATGGTTTCATATGGTTTCATTGGGCTACAACCAAGAATCAAAAACAATGAACTTAAAAGAATGAGAACTGCCTATCCTATCTCTGAATGTCCATATGTCCACCATTCTAGATGGGGGTCCAAACAAACGAAAAGTAAGCAATGTTTCAAGTACTCACGTGATATTCATGATTTACAACGCCGCAAGTGGTAGTTCTGGCAGACCACATCTGCTCCGCTTGGGTAGGCAGGTCCTCTACTTGGCCGAGCCGGGACGTCCAGTGCTGGAGGAAAGGGTTGGTTCAGTTCCTGAAGGTCTACACACTGGTTGATGTGTCAACCACCAAGTCCACTATGGAGCCACACACTGGTTGATGTGTTTTCCAGTCACCCAGGGTCGCCTTTCCTCCCCATTACATCACATAGACTAGCCAGTAGAGTATGTACGGTGATATTCTGGATTTCTACCCATGATCTACCAAAGTCACATATCTTGCCGCAAGAGCGAGCTTCCTTCGGAAGAAACACAAACAAACTCTTGGGCCTATAAAGGATCCCTTTCTCTCCCTCTCAGGCTTCGGTATTTTGGTGCGTGTCATGTCCTGTACTGGAGCTTTGATTTGGTTCGCCCAAAAGGTACCCCAAGTTGTGCTTCGTGATGCGTCGTGAGAGACATCAACCAAGTGCTTTTCGGGGCCGAGGCCCTTGGTGGTCTTCGAGGACGACCTCCTTATCGGCAGGACGGAGCAAAGTGGGGATGGTCGGATGGTCAAGCCAAAAACCTGTGGGTTTGGTGTCTACTTTACAACCCCTAGGCCTCCCAGTACCTTCTGAGGAGGTGGGACTGGGGTGGGTGCCAGGAGGCTCCAAATTCCTTCTGAGGAGGTACTTGGAGGTGTAGGGAACCGATGCCTATCTACGGTATCTTTCAGAAAGTGGAGAATAAAGAATGTCCGGCTTGGTGTCAATTGATCCAGTCTGACCTGAAAACCGATCCTTCGAGAGAGAGAGAGGGAGCGACGTTCCGGGCTGTTGCCTTACACGATCAAGGCGATCAGAAGCAACAAACAAGCCATTGATGTGTCACAACGTACTCCGGCTACTACCGAAGTGGCAGAGTTGTACCATCTTCCGCAAACTCAATGCCCTTGCGCAGTATGAGCGATGGTTCTGCTCAGCACCACATCAGCTCCCATGTCAGTTAACATACGTCAACCAGCTTCATCACAAATTGGCATACCATACCAAGCATACCAAACAAATTATCGTTATCACTCACTCATTGGGGATACATTTTACTTTTTTGTTTGCAAGGCTTCAATCCCAGCCTCATACCACTTTCCATCCTTTTCCATCCACCAGTCACCCCGTCGTTTCGGCTTCCACATACCAACACCACCCCGCCCAAACACCGCCCCAGCGTAGGATCGCCGTGCGGAAGAATTCCGCCAACTTTCGAGACCTGGACGTGAAGCTCTCCTACCGGCGCGGCTGGGATGGTCGAGGATGGATGGTCGATGGTTTAATCGGAAGTCGGAGGCCGTGAAGAAGGTATTGCCGTGAAGTCGTTGTGTCGGTTTTGGAGCCCTAGGAATCCAAGTACATTGTCAGAAGGTGATTGGAGACACTGTTATGTAGGTTTGGAGGGACCAAGTACCTTCTGACAAAGTGGCAGTGGATCCCTAGGGGAGGCTGAATGTCGGTGCCGGGTGCTTGTAGCTGTCGAGCCACAGAGACTCTGTCAGGTGTTGAATTTTCTCCTGACTGGATGAGCTTGGAGATCTTGGAGTTGGGTGTGTGGTGTGTTGTTTTGGTTTGGAAGTGTGGGTGAATCTTGGTGTTACAAGCCTTGTGGGCATCTTACACCTCGGGAATCAGCGAACATGAAAACTCCATTTTAAAGATGGTGACAACGGGCTATTGGCCCCACTACTTTCACGGGCATGTTGCTGGCACATCATCTTGGTTGCACTGGCATATATGCAAATCCGTGCTGGTGATGGAGCGATTGTGTGCTTGCAGTTTTGCTCCACTGTCCTCCCTCAAACCTCTCAATTTGATCATGAGTTGCTCAAGTCACTGGAGAAACACCCGATGGTGACTCGAGAACGCATGCACACCGATGGTGTTTCCGGGGCCCAGGGAATCGCTGGGCCCAGCAAATCGGGCGCGACAGATTGGTGACAGCCTGTGACAAGGGAATCTCTCTGAATTGAGGCGGTTTCCTCCCCGTACCCCACCGTCATGACCAAGCCTTCCCAAACGGACAAATCCAACCTGAGAATCCCAGCTTATATATGGTTAAAGTATTATGTAGTCCAATATATTCCTTTGGCCTTCAACAGGCCCCCCCACCCGGTGCCGCAGGTTGCAAGGCCAGCGCCCCCAGCCGGAACGCGTTCAAGGCTTTCGGATCAGGCGGATGTCGCGTCATGTCACGGGATTCGGGACGGACATGGGTGCGGTTTGGAGCGAGCTGACATGAAGAAGTGCTTGGATGAGCTTGGACCGGTTTGGATGAGCTTGGTCTGAGCTGTAAACCAGGGGGGCCCACCTGAACATGAGCAACTTGGCATGGCAAAGTTGTCCATTGATCCGTGGAAGGTGACGAACTTTTAAACAACTATATATAAAAATTCATCATAGCTATCGGATCACTACATCAGAACTGCGATACCTGGCTGTTTAGAGTGAGGTCCAAAGAAAAGAAACAAGATGTACTGCATGTTGATGTTCAGGGTCCGTTGGTGTTCAGCATGGGGTCATTCGACTGTGGCAATGTCCCAGTAGACCCAGGAGCACAAGTGTTTGTTCTGGATCAAATTGATGTGCAACGGCTGGTTGTACCAGCACTCCGTCAGTGGAAAACCATTCTACATGCAGTAGTTTCTACGAGTTGGAAATGCTACGGCTAGTACTTCGTACATCTTCGTACCATTCTGGAACATTCCCAGGTTAGTGTGCCATCGTAGAAACCGTTGACACGGTTTGCTCATCAAGGTCCGATCCCGTTCATCGCCGGAGCAGGTGAGGCTGCCGACGCTCCGCGACTCGACCTCGAAAAAGACCGGTGAAGACGCATCAAAAAGCACGTGGAGGGAGGACACAGTTGTTCTCGCAATATTGTGTAAACAGAGGTGTGTGTGTGTGTGTTTTCCTTTGCATTGGTGGCCACTTGAGATTGCTTAGACAACCACAAGGCCCATATGTCTTTTGAGAACTCATGAGCAAAGCCCAACATAGCCTTCAGTGGTCGAAGGTAGATGATCCTTTTCTGTACAAGCATTGGCAGCATTGTACCACAAAAATCAAGCTACCTTTAAGCATCTTCAATCCTTGTGGTTCAATAAATTTGGCATGTGTTGTTCATTTTTTGGTGAACTTTCTTCAAGCAAGTTCCAAGAGATTGGGGGAAAAACGGGGCGCAACACGTCCCGGCAGACCCAAGCAGACGGACCGGACCCAAACACATCCATCAGGCTGCTGGAGGTATGGTATGGACGAGACGCATGAGAGTCTTCGCACATCCTGACGGTCACAGGATTGATGTTGAACGAACATATATATTATATATATATTATATGACTTTGCTTTGCTTGGTTTTTTTGTCCCAGAAAAACTCTGTACTGGAACAGTCGGTATTGCAGGCCGCAAATGACTATTTTTCAGAGATGGAAAGGCCTGCAATTGAACCCCCACATTGTTATAGGTGTTCCTTGGGTCAAATCCATGCATAAACCACGCGATGGTCACTTCTTTTTGGTAGCGAGTTCTTTTGCCCGTTCTATAGGCGAAGAAGAGATTCCATCCGCCAGACGAGGTTGAACTGGCAACGACCCTTGTGAAATTGGGAAGGAAGCAATTGGGGACACAGAACAAAGAGAGACCCTTCTGTGATCAGAGATGTTACTTGTTTCAGAGGACTTCCGCACTCCAATGGCCTCGCTTTGGCGCCACTTCGAGACGCCTAGCGGACCTAGCGTAGGTGTCGCTTGTTGTGCCCAATTCGCTTATGATTGACATCCTGATGTTGCAGCTCATTTAAGCGTTAAAAGAGCGAGGACACATGGGCTTAAACCAAAAAGACAAAGGGACTGTTCATGTTTCACCACATGCCTTTAACTAAGGTGTTGTGTTTCTTGGTTGATGCTGGTTGAAGAGATGCGGAGCTTGCCAAACCTGTGAGAACATCTTTGAGCAGATCAGAATGGGTGCAAATGTGATGAACAAACAGACGCCAAACTCCCAGCAACAGCTAGAACAGCTGTCGAAGACTTCCAGACAGTCTGGTGAGTGTAAGAATCCAGCAGTCACTTCCAGTGTTGTTCTTGAAAGAGATACCACCAGCTTGCCTTGGCCATTTCGTTTGAAATCCACGCCCTGATGGCCATGGTGAAGCCGTTCCCGCGACTTCGCGGAGGCAGGACGGCCCGGGCACCACCCCTCAGTAGTAAGAGTGCTTTCTGAAAAGCCTCTGAGCTTCCAACAAGACGTTTCAATTTTCAACGGTTTCCCACGGACCTTCCTTGCACAGAAATGCAGGTGAGGAAGCATGAGGAAGAGTATCACACCCAGGTGGGCATGGGTCAATCAACACATCTGGGGTCGTGGCAAGTCGAGTGGACTGCAACGACAAGACTGTGATTTCTTTTTTGGCGTTGCAACTGCGGTACATGCGAACACATTGGCGGGAGAGTCTTCTGCAATTGCTTTCTGGTAAAGGCACCCTACACATAAACCCACATTGGTAGCTACATGTTGCCCCATCCTGACCAGGTGTCAGTTCTTCCCGGTATTCCAACCCTAGCAAATTCACAAACATCCACATACCTTCTGAGGTAAATGATTGGGGCATGTTAAATGTTTCAAAGTTGGGTCGTACCTTCTCAGGAGCGGATCTGTACGTAGGCCGAGCGGATGGACGGACTGCGGATGGACCGAGCGGGCCCAACGCGCTCACCCAACGGCAACGACCGAACGATATGCATATATGACAGAACTTCACAAGCTGCCAGATCTGAATGACCGCTGTGGAAATCTGTGGAATGTGTTTGAAAAAAGAACAACACAATACTTGTAGCAATGCAATATCCAAAGGGTTTTGCCATGTTTGGTTGCCATCTTCAAAGTCTTTATATTTATAATATTCCCTTTATTTCCCTTTCTCTTTCATCATTACAATATTGTTTGATTCATCTTGATTCCATGAGACGAAACGACGGTCCTTCAACTCCTGTCTTTCCCGACCCCGACCCAGTCCCTGTTCTTCCAAGGACGGCCGGCCCTCTCTCGGCCCGGTCCCGTGGAAATCCGCCGCTCGGCACGAAGAAGCGTCCGGAGGACTGGGACAAAGGGACGAAAGGACAAAGCCGTGCTCGGCTGTGAATGTGTTGGGGATCAGCTTGGCGTTCGGGGTCAGCTGGGCCTTCAAGCGCCAAGCCTTGCAAGTGGTCACTTCTTCGGGACACCTCGTGATTTGAACAATGACCAGCAACCCGGGTTCCTTCCTCAGATGCCATTCTACTGCAGAGAAAGCCCTTTTTTGGTTTTCTATTGTCCCTCCTTGAGGGTCCTCAATACCTTCCAGAAATCGCCTGGACGAGGTCCAGACTTCTGGCTGGGCGCCTCATTGTCGAGGTGGGATGCGGTATCCAAACCAGAAATACCTTGGCATGGTGTCAACTTTGCCCGGCAATGGGCAGAGTTTGGACACATTGGGATGACTTACTGTATGGTCGAGTTCAAAATTGTTCAGATGATCAGATGCGTGAGAAAAGATAGATGAATCATGCACAAGTACGCAAAAGTTGTTTAAAGTGTCCTAGAACACTGGTTGCAGGGTATTGTGTAGCGTAGTTGTCGGTGTTGTCAGTCTCAATAGCCTCTGTTGCTTGGTTCCTCGTCCTCCAATTTTAGTGGGTGATACGTGTTGACACCCAGATGCCCTCGCTAGATCACGACTGGCTCGTGGCTCTTCTTGAGCACTTGTAGCCAGGCGGAGTCTTCACAGCTTCTTTGGGTGAAGATACTTGCTGAGTTGAGTAGTGGAAATTATTCTAAAGCCTGACTAAGCAACTAAGAAGGAGGCTAGCGACTATCAGCACCCAGTCACCTTTAGAGTTTCAGTTAATTACGTTAAAATTTCATTGGAAGCTTGACATCTTGTTTTGCAACCCGATGACACCTCCCAAATGGATCCAAATGGTGCTTTCCGGTGCCCAAGTCTGTCATTTCGCAAACTCAAAATCTCCAATTTCCAAATCCTCCGAAACCACTTCTCCCAATCCGGCCTCAGGCCTGGACTTGACATCGTTGACATTTGGCATAGTCATTGACATCCATTTTGCCACTGCAGATACCGAAATAACGCTGGACCTCCCCATGCCATGCCGCGAGGCGTCCGCCACGAAGGCTCCGGCGTCCGTGCCTGCGGGCTTCGAGGAGGGGAGTGGATTTCCGTGGCGGAGGTCGGGGCAGGACGTGGTGTTCCCATGGTACAAAAGAGGAAGGAACACGAGACCGAAGTCACAATGAAATCAGATGTTCTTTGTACATCATACATCGACATATAAATCATCTAGACGTCCTACAATCATATTATACGTATTGTATATGTCATCACTTATGTCATCATAATGTCAACTGTCATCATGTCTATACAACTACATGGTTTCGTGCAAAGGTGTTTGCCAGTTGGAACCCATTGGTCCTTTGCTGCCCGACCTATTCAGTTCACCGGGCCTTTGAACAAACGATTCGCACGTGACCCCAACCAACGCCCGTCGATGCGAAAGGAGCCGGACGAGGTGGACGAGGATGAAGAGTTTCGGGACTTGCGAAAGCAGGTGGGGAGAACGTTCGTCCGTGCGCGCAGTGCGGGGATGTGCGGGGTGTTCGGGTTTCCGCTGGGGCAAAAGAATGTTTCAATAGACGTTTGGTGATTCACACTTGTCACATTGTCAATCTCACTCTCGACACGATCCTTTCGGGCTGCTCAGAATCTTTAGCTAGTGGTGTTCTCTTGAAAGTTCTTCCTTCTGGATGCTTTTGTTGCAATTCGGTGGACAAGAATGGTGGTTCATCTACAAAAAACGCAGAAAGGTGGATGCTCGTTCGGGTAGAATAGGGAGTCCTGTCTTTCTTCGGATGCTCTCTGGCCCAGAAATGAACTGCGGAACTTTACAGTCATTGTGTAACCCTATAGTTGTATGCCTGGTCAGTTGTAACTTCTGCCAGGTTCATTGTGGATTCAATAGTCAAAGAGATATGATATGGATTTGCAAAACGGAGGTAGGAGAAGCTGAGGATGTTTTCTTGCCTTGAGCCTTCAGCTGTTGATGTCGTGCCCGCCTGTTTTGTTTGGAACGAGTTGCTGGTTCAAGTCATACAGACATCACATCAACCCATACCTCTAGATTTGTGGATTGTGTTTGCTCGTTCGAGAAGGGGCATTCCCAAGTTTCAAGGTACGCCAGTGACTGCTTACCAAATGAGCTGAACTATTCAGTTGTCATAGCATGTAGTGATGCTCGTAATGCGTAAGCTTTTCACCAACACCGTCAGCACCTCGTGGACTTTTCAATCAGTCAAAACATTTTTGGTATATCAAAATGAAATAGAACGAGAGTTTTGTTTTAGGTGACACATGGTGGGACCGCAATCCCATGGCTTACACGGGAGTAATGTAGTTGGTCCGTGGCTGGACCTGCTTTGGTGATGTTTCTTCGAATCCTGGACCCATCAAACTGCAACTGCAACTAGTAATAGCGCAGTTGATCCTCTCAAGGTGAAGCAGCACTTGCTGGAGCGGCGCAACAGCCGCGTGCTGGCCGCGGTTGGAGTGTTTCTGGGTTGGTGTCGAACTTGATCGATCCCGTCCATGGTCACACAGCAGAATGATTCGCATTGCGGGAACAAGTATCATTAGAATCGTTAGCAATTACAATCCTCGTTAACATGTCCTCATGAAATGGGGGGGGGCGTATGATGGCGTATGGTCCAAATTTAGTTCTATTCTTTTGTAGAGAACAGGGATGCAATCAAGCCCTGAGGTTCTGAGTTCTGAGCACTTGAAAGTGCTCGCGATTTAGAAAAGGATCGTGGAGATGCAGCTGGGCTCACCAATGATGTTTGTGGAACTTATGACCACCTGAAAACCCAGTCCGGAGATGTTTAAACTGGGCCCCAACTGCAATGTGATATTAGAAACAGCCATTTTGTTTTTTGGTTCGGATTTGGTTTTCAGGCATAAATAGGAACTTTGAGGTTGGTTTGGTGCAGTCCAGGCACCTACAGACCTACAGGTTTCTTTCCATGGTTTCCTCTTTGAACAACAGCAACAGCAGCAACAACAAGACGGCTGAATGATGTGCACCAGGTCCTGTCCATTACCCGCAGCCCCCTCAGGCAGCACACCACGAGATGTCGAGCCCTTGTCAGCGCGGCCAGGTCACCAAGCAGAGGGGCGGGATTTGTTGGCCTCAAACCGCCCATTGTTTGTTGTTCGCTGGTTTGTTAGATATACAGTATGTACTTCGGATGAGTTGATTTATTCATTTTGATTTCTTGGTGATTTGATGGTTTGTGCGAATTAAAGGTAGCGTGTGCAGTGTGATGTAACGTGTCAGAAAATTGGAAGAAGCTATTAATTAGTTTGGCATTGCACTTATATATACAATTTCATATAAGTTCTTATATATAGTATAGGTAGTAGATGGTAGTAGATGGTAATAGGTTGTAGGTAAAAGGTAGTAGGTACTAGTTAGTAGGTAGTAGGTAGTAGGTAGTAGGTGGTGGTGGTGGTGGTGGTGGTGGTGGTCGTAGTAGTAGTAGTAGTAGTAGTAGTAGTAGTAGTAGTAGTAGTAGTAGTAGTAGTAGTAGTAGTAGTAGTAGTAGTAGTAGTAGTAGTAGTAGTAGAGGTGTACATATATATATATATTTCTGGGGCTGCTAGCTTCCAGGATTCCAGGTTGTCACTGGGTGTCCATTGAACTTTCTGTCAGTCTGTCAGCTCCTTTTGTCATTGAGAGTGCACTTTGAGCGTTTGCCTGGGTAGCATCGCAGCGAGGCTTGCTGGCCCCGTTGGTTGAGCAGTGCGCCTGCCACAGCTGCCAGCAGTTGCCTTCAACATAAAACGCCTAGTGCGGAGATCAGTGGTGTGGGAGCCAACTCCTGACATCCAACTTTCAAAGGGCTGGCAGAGGGCTCATGCTTTCGACAAGGACTGGCCAGACACTGGAAGCTGGAACACGAACTTGGACGCTGGAAACTCCAGATCGTTGAAATCGTCAAGTCCTTCCATACGCTGGAGATGTCATTGGTTGATTGCTTGGTGGGGCGCATTCATTTGGCGGGAGTCTGTGAGAGTCATTGCCGATTCCACGGATATTGCTTGCGCGTTGAAGAATGAAGAGACGTTTTCTCCGTTGATCAGGAAACATATAAAGTGGAAACTCTGAATCATGTGTGACGAGCGTGTTTGGCCATTTTCTCTCTTGAGGATATCAAACTTTGGCTAGAAGTGTCTTGAATCATGCGACGAGACTTCAGCTAGCTATCGAACCACTGGTGAGCGCTACATATGTTGGAACTGCTACTGCTGCTTTGGTCTTGGTGGCCTGCCTTTTGTATTGGGTCAGCTGAGTATATAAATTAAATCAATCAGTTTGTATGACTGATTACCATCAGCATTTCACCGTAAAACGCTGAGAAATCGGAGGACTTGGATCAATCACCATCAGTGGTATCAAACCTGCATGAGAAACTTGAGCATACTTGAGTTCCAGCAAAAGAAACGGATGGTCCATATCGGGAAGAGGGGACCACAACAGGTAGATGGTCCAGTTTTACTGCATATTGAATTCTCATGACTCTCTTTGCTACAGTCTCCGAGGCCTATTCCAGTGTTTAGCCTCCAGTAACGAGAGCTTCCAATGCTCGGCCGCTGTAGAAAAAGGGGGTCTTCGGCCGCTGTAGAGTGACAGTGGGAGTGACAGGTTTTGGCACCTTTTCTTCGGCCCCTTTGGACCTTCAATCGTCGTGTTTTCCTTTGAGCGATTGGCGAGTGATGGCTGAAGTTCGGAACCTCGAAGGAACCTTCGGCCCTCGCTCTCTCTCTCTTTTTGTTTGTTTGTTCCCGATGATTCTGAAGTGTACCATGTCGAGTGTTTCAGTTCGTCATTACATAGATCCAAAACAGTTTTTACGGAATCATCTTAATCTTTGAAGCGGTTTTGCAGGGAACACACAACATGTTGTCCACAGTTCTTTTCGAACACGTACCAACACAAGCTGTTCAACCTCCGGGGCTTCCGAAAAAGTCCGCAACATACGTCCTCCACGCCAGTCTCAAGGTCTCGCACCAGCCGTCCCAATATCACCGCTGCGGCTGCCACTTGGACCGAGGGCCTCAACGGAGACGTTCGTTTGTTGGAACAGCAAATGGACCATTCAACAGGTGGTTGTTTCATAAATGGCCAATTCCTGAGTTAAAGTCAGATGTCATGCTCTCCAAGAAGCACTGGGTTGGCACCAAGTTGGTGGCAGTGTTTCGTTCAATAAATTGGTCCTGGAATATCAGGGGACTGGGCAACACCAGTCTGGCACCAACCAGCGTGGCCAGTTTGGACGTATTGAAAACACGCCCCGGATGCCAGGGTCTCTCGCCCGAAGAAGCAACAGAGGGATGTATAGAGACCTTACTAGCAAAGACCCTCAAGAGATCCTGAGAGCCACTTCTATGGAGAGAGGTTCTATGACATTTGATGGCATCTGAAGAAGGACCAGACTTGTAGGTTTCGTTTGCACCAGCTGCACCATCCACGGCTGTTAACATGCCACATTCCCCCTTGCGTGGCACTCCATCACCGTTTGGTCGTGTCGTTTCCTGGCTCCAAGATTCTTTGTAGGACCCCCACTCAGCTCAAGTTGATCAAAGTGGCACGGAGAACTTTTGACCCAACATCATACCTCGGTCTTTTATGCCGTTTGTTGGGGTGTTTCTTTGAGCAAGAAGCCCCTCCTCCCCTCTCGTTTTTCACCAAAAAGCCTCAGACCGCACCGAGGTCTTAGGGCCGTCCGGAGGCGCGACCGGGTGACCAAAACATGGTGAAAAACCAAAAGCTGGAAAGAAGATTCCATGCCAAGCATGTTAAGGCGGATGATCCTGTCCACAAGAGACCAAGAGATCCATATGTTTGGTCTTGGCTTAGTGCCTTGGCCTGCTGTTGTTGAGGATTTTTGCAGGAATGAAATGTTATTGGACACCTAGTTGGAAACCTATATTACACTACAGGTAAATGTTGGAGCCACCAGTGGTTCTGACAGTTCATCTACCAGTTTTTGCTACGTTTCATACTCCAAACCATACCCCATACTTTCCTAGCAACAAACCTGCCAACGGGAAGCAGAGTGATTTTTTCACAGTCTGCTTTGTGACAGACTCGACAACTCTTGATCGGCATGGTTTTCAGGCAAGATAAGTCCTCAAGCCCAAAACGGGAGTCCTGAACACATACATGTTTGTGACACGTTTTGGAACACCATACTATCCATATATCAGTACGAGGAGACCCACACTGGACTCCCAGATCTGCAATTCCTCCAAGCCAGCTGCCCAGATCTGCTAGGTGTGGGAGTAGATCCAATCTACTTTGACTACGGTGCTGCCACCAGGTCCAATCAGCGTCTCTCTGTGAGATCTCCGAGAGTTTCCGAGTTCCGGTTGGCGTGGAAAGCGAAACCATTGCAAGGATTTCAGTGAAGGCCGCGGGAAGTAGAAATGCATTCTGTTGTTGGATGCTGATTTTGTTGGGATGTTTTCAAGCTGAGTCCGAGTTAGCAATGATTGAGTCAACTTCAACTTGGGCCAAGTCAGACTTACCGCTTTCAGACCGTATTGAAATCACCTATAAAGGTTAGGAGATTCACATATCCTAAGATTGTATCCCATTTTAGGAGATGTGAAACGCAGGAGAGGAACCTTGTAACCTCAGCTTTGAGATTGAAATAACCAACCTCCGCAGCGCTGCGAGGTTAAATTACAGTCGTTACATGTCGTTACAGAGTGCGCCCCTCCCCCCTGTCCCACCACATGCATCAGCTCCCGAATGATCAAACACACATTCATTGGACTCATGTGCAAATGTATTTTATGTTTCTGTCACCAGGTTTCTTTGTGTAACTGATATATACTACTGACTAGTAACTTAGGACTTGTCGGACATACACGCCAATTCCAAAAGCCTATGTCATCAGGATTGATCCAACATTGGCATTTCCTCTTAAGGCCTATGTCATCAGGCCACAACCATGATATTCATAGAAATATGTATGAGGTATTCAAGGAAGCAGCGCCCGCAAAAACACATAGTCGCACCCTATGTCACCACTGTGTCACCAGGGTGCCAGGCAGTGGTATCTAGCAATATTTAGCTGCTTTTTTACATTTGTCGAGGAGGTGTCCACAGGTCCTATGACACCAGGTTTCCCAACCCAGACATTTTTTTTGCTCGATATGTCAGGGCACATGACTTAGCCCTGGGGGTAGCCAGATTGGTATGTCACTTGCATCACGTTGGCCTAAGTCATTAAACAGTAGTATAGATTAGGGATTTGTTTGTCAAACGTTTGCATTATGTTTGTTTGCCCAAAAAGATAATTGCATTGTTCACCGACAGATCATGTTTGCATGATGTGGTTGAGCTTCTACTAATAAACTGGGATATGCTGACGGGTGCAGTGCAGGGCCTTGCGCGCCAAAGTGCAAGAAGAGAAGGCTGCTGTGGCAGGCGGCATCAGTGATGCACGAAGCATTCCCAAACAACATGGCTGCAATCATGCCTGCTGGGTTTCTGCGTGTGTGCCGAACGTGTTCTTTCGTGAATTCTACAAGTTTCGAGATTCCTTGGATGTTCCTACTCATTTCCTCCAGAAGTCAACAAACCTGGTTTGTCATGAAGGATTATTTCCAGTATCGCAGCCATGGTCGAAACTACATTTGGAACCATTCAGTTTGAGATGAATGAGTTTGCATCCTGGAGTCCGATGCTTTTGAGACATTTGTTTGGGATGTGATTCTTGGATGTGGGGCCCTAACCTCAATTTAACAATCATGTTCAAGGAGTCCAGTTGTGATGTTAGCTTGCTACAATGGCAACCCGGGCCGCCCGGCTGGTCCTTAAGGATCCAGAACGTAGGGGGCTTGAAGTCTAGAGGGAATTGCCAGCAACACTAGTTTCAACAAGACTTCTCAATAAGATCTGCAATACATGCTCCAGTCGGTTCTATGAAGAGGGGCCATTCAATGAAACTCTGATCCCGAGTTTCTTTGTTTTGGTTTGTTCATCACAGGCGCACAATGCCATGGTAGAACATCGCAGGGTTTCAGGGTTGCGCAATCAGATAAGATGAACCTTTGCGCAACCAGAAGAGGAGTGTAGAACTTGACGAGGAAGTTTCTTAGCCCAGTGAGTTTGGGTGTGCACCACACAACAATTCGGTGCACATAAATTCATAGGAACAGCATTTTCGACTCCAGCCAATTTCCTGTGTTTGTCGCGTATACTCCTTTTTGTTGCACGCCACCCCTAAAAATTACCATACCACCACCTCAGAAACAGCGTGTGGTTTGTTGCGTGGTTTTGTTGTTGGCAGGTGAAGATGCTTCGACCAAGGACAAGATATAGAAACAGATGCTGTAACATTCTTGGATTTGATTTGTGTGTCACTCTCTAGATGTATATTTGTACTATTGTCATCCCTGTGCGGCTGTGCGAATTTCTCTGAACAATCTAGCAACCCAGGGGTGCCCAAAGAATGAAAGTCGGTGGAACAACCAGCCTTGGTACCTGGCACCCTATTCTTTAGAGAATCACTGTGGGTTGATCACTGCAGTCTCAGACAGAAAAACAACCGTTACAGCAATATAATCAACGAGGATGAATTAGCATGATCAATGTTAATATTGTGTGGGAAAATATGAGAAGATTCATGACGATCCATAAACAAAGTCAACAAAAATCAGCTCTAAAGAATCTAAAGAATCAGAAACCTGCAAACAATCAGATTGCTAACTCTCCTAAAGAATTGGACTATGTTTCCTCTGCATTGGCTCACCAAGGGCTGGCTAGGCAGTTATTTTGTTTGATGCGCTTTGATTTACTTTACAGGGAAGGAGCCAGAGTTTGACCCAAACACGGACGGTCAGATTATATAGATTCATGATGTCATTGTTTTGAGGTTAGAGGGATCTGATTCTTTAGTGGTTGCACTTTTAAGTTGTTTTTTTAGGATGGATTCTAATTCTTTAGAGAGCAACAGGTTGGCACAGGGTGGGCGCTCTAAAAGCAGGAGGTCCATGTGCGAGGTGGAATTCGAAGGAGGATCTACTTTGTAGCTTAGATACATGCACGTTCTATCATTCATCCTTCGGAGGATATGGAATCACGGGATCCCGAACCTCTACTCCGTCGACCACTCCGGATCTCCTTCCGTCGACTCCGGGCAGGAGATGGTGACCTTTCTGTCTGCGCAGGGCTTGTCCGGCCCGTTGAGGCCGTTCTTCGAAAGGGAGGGTCCGAGAGGCGAGAACGAGATGAGCGGAGGGTCTGAGCGTCGCTCCCGATGACCCTCGCGTTGGACTTGTATCAAGTACTAAGTATAGCTGAAGCTTTGCCTCGGAGCGGAGCGCACAGGTCAAGATGATCAAGACATGGAACTCACACAGCGCCCCAGTCAGGGTAGGAAGATCATGTTCCAAAAGCCTGCCAGAAGCTTACTATCGTAGTTTGATCGAAAATAATGGTCCTATGAACCGCGCGATATGGCGATTGAGCTTTTAGCCAACAACCCATGTTGTTCATGTCGAAACCTCGAAACCTTACGAAGATCACCTTGGTTCTCCGGGGAAAATTTCTGGGAAAACATCCGTCCGGCCTCGATGGTTTGGCCTCAAATCCGACCGAGGGATCCGGGTTCGCAACCGACGATGGGTCAGTTGGGACGATGCGATGCCCGGGGCATTGAAAGACCTCCGTCTCCGATGTCCGATCGATAGGGGTTCGGACAGGGGTTGCTCCCTGTTTGTGTAGACTGGTCCAGCAACATCGAGAGAAACATGGCAAGTATACACTGTGATGCGATTATCCTAGCAGCTCCTAGCATTGCGCAACGCTGCACGGTGAATGAAGTACCAGGAAGAAGTACTATAGCTGTTGTACCCCACCTTGGAGGCGAGCCACACTAAAGAATACAATTCAGAAAGATTGGACTCCCTACATACTACCTTATTAGGGACACATACTACATACCAATCCGTAAGTAGTAGAATCGCAGGACTACACATTCTACAAACTATAAGCCCGCCAGCGCAACAGCAGGACCTGTGGACCCACCTTTGACGATAAATATCGTTGTGTGCAACATATATCTTGATTGAAAACAATGGGTATACGGTATACATGTTTCGTGGCTAAGGGAAACTTGTTTCACAAAAAGATAAATTCACCTTCATCGCACCTGCCACCATTCCCGCACCAGCCGTCAAGGGCCTATGCCAAAGCTTTGGCGCTGCAGGGCGCCACTTGACGAAGCGATTAGACGTAGAGGGGTTGGTCGGGTTGAGGGTACCCAGGGGATAATATTTGTCAGAAGGTGCTTGGGGATTCAGGTAAGTTTAGGGGATCCAAACGGTTGAACTCCCTTTTGGATGCAGGACCTAGTTGGATACCCTGTGAGAAGCATAGTTCACTCACTCGTCCTTGTCCTGCGTGAGAAGCGAGCTCTTGAGGGGATGGGAGGTTGCCGATCCACCGTGGTTGAGCACCAGAGGATCGAGATCCACCAGAGGATGAGGACGTGATCAACAGCTTGGTCCTGAAGGACTCCCAGGACACATTTGTGCTCTTCCTGTTGCCAAACCCGCAGGGCTGCATAGTTCCGCTCCTGCAGCAGATCTCACACCGCCTGGTCAGACAAAAAACGAAGAAGACAACCACTCATTTCGGGCGCATCTTCTGCTGACCATGTTGAGGGAACTTCAGAGAAGACTGCTCAAATTCATGTCGAGTGGGGAGCAAGAAGCCATCAAGACTCAGCTCATCAAGAATTGCATCCTGCTGTGTATGCCAGAAGTTTCATGCAGTGAGCAAACCAATGGAGGGGCGAAGTCAACCTAGGCGGCTCCAGATCAAACTACGGATGGACAGATTGCACCGCCTCTTGCTGGATGCTTGTCATCTCAGCTTGTGGCAAATCATCGGTGCGCAACTCAAACAGCAAACCCAACGGACGTGACCGCTTAGCACACGCCTCAAGGACATGCTTTAACGGATTTGGTGTCTACTGAACACCAGAACCTGCAGGCCATGGTCTTGGCCTGGAAGCTCAGCAACCCGCCCAACCATTGCCTTTTTCATTGCCTCCATCCAGGCAATGACTTTGGCATGTTTGCACAGACAACATGTTGCTGTCTCAGACTGGGGCCTTCAGGAAGGCCTTATCAGCTTTTGCTGAGGGGGCGTGCAGCTACATTGGTGTTGGGGATGGCGTTCTTTGCGCATGTGCTGCCTGAATGAGATGGCACCACTCAGAGTGATGCTGTGGAGTTTACAGTGTTTCACGACCTTCCCGCATCCCCACGTCCCGGCTGATGCCGTTCACACGGCGCCATGACAATGTTGCATGACCCCTACCACAAATTTGAAAATACAGCCCAGTCACTATAGAGTATTGTACTGTATTACGTACTATGAACAACATACCAAAATCGACGAGGCCTTTCACGAGTCCTTAGCAGACCTCTATAGCGAACTTTACGCATGTATAACGACGGCGCGGTCCCGCCATTGTCTTATGACAATGAATTTGAGAATCAACGAGTTGGAGAACCAAACTCCCCGGATCGTGAACTCACAAGGTGAACTCACAGTAACGCAACCAAGACCCTGCGTCCTGGATAACGACAGCAACACGGGTTCACCTGCAACCAAGACCTTTCGCATGCCCTGGGACCCGTGGTGAAAGAGAGACCTGTGATGGACTTCCGCAAACATGCATGGCCCGCCCACGCAGATTAATTTGATCGCGCAAGGAAGCCAAACGGGTTCTTAAGCATGATTGTTTTTTAGAGACACAATTGGAGAAGTCGTTTAGAGCCTTCTAGGTGTCATAATGTAAATGTTGATCGACGCAGGATCTGAACCCGGAGAGGGTGGCGCGGATAGACTGACAGGGTGAGCTTGGAACTGAAATGAGTCTCTATGTTTTCACAACAGAGAGTTGAAGAGACTTCATGGTGCTGGAGAATATTACAGTCAACAAACACACAGGCATCGTAGCGAGGCATTTGACTGAATTGAAAAGACGCTCTCCAGGTTTGTGGGGGCTCAGGCTCTCCCACTAACCCTTTTTACATAAGCCGCAATTGTTTGGAGGCCGCGGATGGATGTTTCATGAGAAACCATCCTACTAACCCTTCTTTGTTATCGGCCCCCTTTCCGTTTGCAAAAGGCTCAAACATATTTCACTTGTACTAGCTGCAATGTAGCAAGTGTGGTCAATATAGTGTTTCCCCGAAGTCCTTCGCCCGTCTGCAAACACCCAACGGCAGTCAGTGGGTTGATCTATCTTTTAGGGAAATTGTGTGGCTTTTAGGTTTGTTGGCTCGAGAATGCCTCCAAAGAGCTGTGATTCTCGTACAGAACACAGTGCCAACACGGGCCAAGTGACTTTGGCTTTGTAAAATTCAAAGATCCTTGTCACACGGTTTTTGGAGATATGGAGAGTTTTTTTGTGTAAGAGCTGTTTTTGGGTTGGCCAAATTTAACTCTCACAACAGGTCGGGAATCAGGGTTGATCAAACGTTTCATCCCATTGCGATCCTCAGATTGATGGTGCCATTTTGCAATTTCTATACCAAACGCTTTCCTTTGACGTTCCAACCGTCCAATGTGCCATCCCACTGAAATGCCTTGAGGTCCACTTCGTTCGATTCAAGTCCCAATCACACGACTCGTACCTTCTATGGAAGTGGATTGCATGGTGGAAGACGTGTTTTTCTACAAAAGACTTCTTGGACTGTCCACTTCCATGACTGTTGGACAGATGAGGTGGACAGAGAAAGTTTGAAAGATAGAGGGTAGGACTCGATTCACCTTTTCCATCTGAAGATGTGGGAGTTGATCTAAAACCCTGCCGTGTAAGGAATTTTATATAAAACAACAGATGTTGTTAATTCCATCATGAAATAATATTGATCAACCGCCATGATGACCACAATTCCAACGTGTCCTCTGTTCAGCACTTCCAGCTCTCAGGTGACACAGCCGAGCGAGCTGATCAAGACAGAGAATTCGAGGCAGGTTTTGCCCTGTGGTGTGGTTTTCGTCGCTTTCGTTTCTTTGGGGGAAAGTCCAATTCCACACGTTTGCGCTGACTGGTGCACTGACTGGTGCACACATGTTGCACCGAAGTCGTGGGTGTTAATGACTTCGTCCAGCCGGACAGGGAGTCTCAGAAGAAAACACCATGGCCGACTAGGGCACAGTTTGATGTTGTTGATCCCTCAATATGGGCATGTGGTTTTCATGGGCCCTTCTCGAAGCACTGGTGTTACTTCTTCTTAAGGTGTTGCCGCAGGAGTTCTCGTCTTCGTCGCGAGCAAACCCATGGGTCGTCGTTCCACACCCATCGATGACGACCCAGCTCCGGATGTTTGTCGGAACCCCCGAAGTACTGGACCAAGGGTGCTTTTCCTGCAGCTGTGAGGGTTTTGGGTTGTTCACAGCTTGGCGAGACTTCGCGGGTTTTACTGTAATTTATAGCAGTTGTTTTGTTATGTTTGTGTCCCTGTTTCAATGAGTCATCTCACATCCTTCATCTTCAGGGTCTTCAAGTCTTAACCTTTGACATCAGTCGCATAAATGATTTGATCTCTTTGGACCACAACGCGTCACGCGAGGTTGAGCCGACTCTTAACTTTGTCAGAGTTCGACAGCACGGATGAGTGCCTCGATGGAGCATCAAGAAGGACGTTAGGCATTCCATGTGTGCTGTTCAAGGAGTATCTTGTTATGTTTCCCACGTCTCACTTTGTTTGATTGATGTGTTGTAGTCTACAAATCATGCACCCATAAGTTCAGTCAATCTAAATTAAACAAGATAAATTGGGCTGGTGTTGACTTCCATATATATATATATATGTGTGTGTTACATATATGATATTGTACATATAGTTTCACTGTTCGACCAACTGCACGTTGAACATGCGGGTTCGGTGCGGAAAGGATCTAACGGTTTAATGATAGAGTCGAGTTGTTTGGTTTTCAAGACAGCAAGGATAATTGATGCTGGAATAGCAAGCTAACACGACCCCCGCGTAGTCGTGGGTGTGGCACTTGTGTCATCGTGGTTCAATTCATGGTGATTCTCTGTTTTGTAGATGCAGATCTTTTGTCTCAGGTCATGTTTTCTGCATGTTTATCTGTTTGTTGAACATTTGTATGCATTTACATTGGGATTCACAAGCGCACCATTCCCTCCACCCCCAAAAAAGTTGCATCATAAGTTTTCACCGCGCCAGTGAGCCAACACAACCACCAAAATTCCCGTACTCCTCGAGACAATAGAAATCTAACACCCACCGGTCAGGGTCTAAACAAATGTCCAGCGCGGCGAGACGAGACCTAATGAATCCCACAGAGACACACAACAACGAAGGGATAACGAACGCATTGAGCTTCAAAACCTGCGATCAGTGTACCATGGCCCTCGAACGCAACAAGTCTCGACGTAGTTGGCCCCCCTCCCCCTGCCCCCCCCCACCCTCCTGTGATTGCTTTTGCTTACTACTGTACTAGCTTCTGTATGCTCTTACCTCTCATATATGTGTGTATATGACTGACATATTTGGCTCGAACCTGGAAAAGCCGCTTGCTTTCACGCGCGACGCTGCACTTGACTGGCTTTCCGTGCGTTGTCCGTTGGACCACTCTCGAGACAGTGTTCTTTCCAAGGGAACTCCACTGCATCGCACTTCGTGTCACCACCCCGTCCCTTCCACAGCACGTCGAAGCCACGACTGAAACGGAACATGTTAGAACTGGCGGAACACGAACGCCTGTGCGAGTCACCAGAGGTCGTGACACCAATAACAAGCCCCCATCAGGTGATCACATCCACTGTCCACCAAAAGGTTGTGGAGTAACAGTATCCAGGTCCAAAAAAAACCATAAGTGGGTGAATCTCATCTTGAGATAAAATCAAAGTCATCAAAACCCTTCTTAAGAGTGATGTAAAGGGATGTTGGTAAACCAGAAGTTCACCATAGCAATCCCATACTTGCCCCACCGTGCGTTTGGACCGCAGTGGACCAAATAGGTGGTGATTTAGCGAAGGCTTCACTGACCTCCCGCTTCCGTGTGGTGCGGGCCCAGCCATTGCACTCCTCCGGGTACCCTGGCCACTTACGTTTTGAGATGTTTGTTGGACAACGGGATTGTGGTTGGGTCAGCAAGCGGTACGTTTCTTTTTGAAAGGTAGGACGCGAAAGAGAACATGCAAAACACTTTCCCTGTGCTCGAAAACATCGAAAACCCTGCCAGTGTGTCAGTGTCGGGGCTTGGCCTGGAATCGCGCATGATCTGAACCCAGAAGATTCTGAGAGGCCTTGAAAGTGCCCCAACCCATGAATAGACAGAACCCCAATCACACTTCAAACGACCATGAACAACCAAAAACATTTGAAGACGTCAGCTGCAAGTTTGGCATTTTGCAGGCTCTTGCTCTTGGATGGCCTTCGACAACTACGTTAACTCCTTTCTTGAATGAATTAGTCGGTGCCTGTGGATGAGACGGTCGCATCAAAACTACTCCCAACTGAAGGAACTATAGGGAGCCATAGGCCACCTTAGAACAACAAGTCACACAGAAGGCCCAACGATGCCAAAAATAACCCTCCATGGTTCGGACGCCATGGTTCTGTTCGACATGTCTTGACTGGACAAAAAAGATGCATTCTTCGACTTGTCGAGTGTGAATTTTGCATGTTTGTTCTTCATGTGCAACTTGTGGGGTTCCTTCAAGTGGAGAGATGCTGTCAAAAATTGGTTCCACAAGGTGATGTTCTTCATGAAGCTGAAGGTTCAGAGTACAGACGTTACTAACCAACACGTAGGCTGCAAAGTTTGTTGAAGAGGTTTGTACATAGGTCCTTCAGTATTCATATAAAACAGGTTGAAAACTGCTGCCCTCTTCAATGCTGAAATCTCATCCTGTTGCCTCATGATGTCTCGGATCCATTTGGCGATGTGATGTACTTGGGTGATGTGATGTTCAATTCTGTCATGAGGTCTTTGCTGGTAGCTGGCCCAAATGGATCCCCTCATATGTTTGAAGTCGTGCGAAAAGTACCCCTCCTGCTGTTCGTCGATGGCGGCAGTCCATGGGTTAGCCTGAGATCATGAGCAGAAAACGATAGAAAACGATTCCTTTCTCTGGGGCATTCCTTGTGGGCTTTGTCAAGCACCTTCTGTGAATGGATTCTGGTTGATATTTCTCATGCTTTTCCTTCTACCTGTAGATATCGTGGGCTCACCCTTTCGTCAGCACACATCCCATCTACGAACTGCAGAGGGGATCCTCTCACTGCGTGACGCATTGAGAAATGAACGGTTACTATAATAATTGGTGGCCAGATTTTAGATGATTTTAGCATTTCACCCTAGCGATGGGGCCTTGCAGTGAAACATGGCAACCTTCTGGTGGATTAGCCCTGATGAGCAACAAACCCAATCCCTGGTGGATCGATTCGGTGTATCAGCAGCTCTTTCGTAGACTGAAACATCACTTTTGCCACGAAACAAAATTCTAAAAGATTGATGAAGGACTTCAGGGAGCAGTAGAATGAATCTTCATTTGTGTTCTGAGATCTATTTGTTGCACTTCAGGGTGGTGTATAGTTGTTAAGCAGCACAGCCAGCTGACTCAGCCTCACTGGCTAACTTCACCCGCTAACACTGGGCACCTGTTTTTCTACAACCATGAACTGGCCATGTAGACCTTTGTAGAGAAAACAAGGTGTCAACAAAAACAGTATATAGACCTTTGTAAACCTTGTAGCCCTTTGTTACAACCACTGTTTTTCTTCAACCCGCTAACACTGGACCTTTGGAGATGGAATAGCTCCGAGAGCGAGGTAGATGGCGAAGGAAAACCGGGCCATATATATATATATATATATGTATTATGTATTTATTTGAATCGCAACTTGACACCCACTCTGCTGTGGCGGTGTTTATTCTGCCACATGGATGTACGAGTTACTTCATTGTATCTTGTCAGTGCTTTTATTTTTGATATACAATTATAAGAGGATGGCCAGAGGCTAGACGTGAGGAATTTTCCTTCCTGCAAAGGCCAACCATCTTCCTAGTGCCTTGACAGTGACATGGAAAACAGGTTTGGGCTGCAACGGTTTGGGGTTCTGCAAACAGCTACGTCTATGGCCGAGAGGTTTGTTTCTCTTCATGACAGTTGTTTATCAGTTGTTTGTGAGAACATTGAAAGTTACATACGACCTGGAATGGATCTTTCTATATCTTTCTGTAGGGCTCCAAGACAAGGGCTACAGCATGTAGGTGTGTAATAGACCCAACATTAGCCAAACCCGTTGGTTCCAGGTCTCCCTATTGAAATACACACCTGTTTGTAGGTCAGAGGATCTGATTGTTCTCATCCTTTTTTCCTCATCGCAAAGGATTTTTGCTTCGATTGTTCACTATACCTACCCGGTCAGAGAGCATTTTTTTCTTTTTTTGGCGGAGGCTCATTTTCCCATTGGAACAAAAACAGGTGGAACAAGGCTAACCTTGATTTTCCAGGGCAACTGAGGGAATCAGACAATCAGTATTATATAATTGTACTACTTGCGTTGGCGGCTTTCGCAGAAATGCGGCTCTCAGTGCTTGCAATGCAGAATCATGGTTCAAGTGTCCACAGTCAACCATTTCTGAGAAGCAAGCAGTTGATGATCCCAACCTCATGCAGTGCAACCCATTCTTTACCCCTGTGGTCATGTTCATGATGTTTAATCTCAAGAACATGTCTTATCCAGGAACCCACCCAGTTTGGATGGCAATTGTCCCTCCAAAACCATTGCTTCTCCCTGTCGTGCGAAAACGAAGCAGCTATGACGTGTTCGTTTCTGTTCACTTCAGACGTGCCATGGCGGACTTGTCACACACCTGGCGTTCAGAGCTGTCACAACTGCCGCAAGACTTCCAGGATCGGATTCGACGAGTCGCACAGCGTCCCGACAGACGAAGGGGCTCGAGATCGTTCGTCCATGGCCGGAACTGTGGGCTGGATCGGTGTGTTTGGAATTCGCGGATTCGCATGTGGTTCACTTTGGGGGAGTCAAGTAGTATCAAGTGTCTAAAGAAAGGAATGACTTGTAGGCATTTAGGCTACTCCAGGATGATCAGACTCCTGCAGATACTCAGCGAGTATCAAGGTACAACTCAAATGAAGGTGAGAGCGAGTTGTCTTGAGTCAGGTGATGTGAGTGAGTTGGGACGAGATGGCTGGTAAGTTGTAGTGAGTGAGTTGGGTGTTGATTGGTGATAACTCATCCGAGGATCCAATGGGGAGGGAAAACCGTGGGAGCTTATCCGGAATTCCTTCAAGTTGTGAACGCCCTCAACCGCCTTCGTCTACGACAAGCTCACCAGAAGTCCGCAACTTGCCTTTGTTTGACGTGACACGTCCGCTTCGCTACAACTGAAGTCGAACTCGGATATGATTTGTTTGGTACCAAGAGTTTTGCCATGTTTCACCAAGAGTTTGATCGCTCCACGACGATCCTTCGGAATGATGCGTGTTTCCTTACTACTTCGGAATGATGCCTGGTGTAGCGACATCTCAGGAATGGATCGAGATCTCAGTGAAACTGCGGACTTGCACCAGGACGTGACCCCCCCAAAGAAAAAATGAGGTGGTGCGGAGGATCAGCTAAATTGGACAAGACGACATACCAGTCCTAATGTCGGAACACACTCGCAAGATTTTACGCTAAGTGGTTGTCACTTTACCAGTGATGCCGGTCAGCGATCAGAGGACTCCTTGTTCCATGCATCCTTTGGTCCATCAGAAGCGGGGTTTGTGTCATTCAGCTACTTTAGTGCAAGAGTGTTGAGATCATATCATATAACACAATCAGTTGTTCAAGTTTGCTAGAAATAACGAAACTTAATTTGTTTGTACAAAGATGAGCAAATCGTTCAATTCAGTGTTTATTCTTTTCTTTTGCACCTTCTGAGTTTTTGATTTTCAGACCGATATCCCAGGCAGACAATCCTTCTTTGCCACTAGTTTCTTCAGCCAGGTGGTTGCTATGTCGGTTTTCCACCCAAAGATGTTGTGTTGCGTTTTGCTGGGATTGTTTTGTTAGGTGACCCAGTGGCTTCAATCTCTTCTGCTGGACCGGCGCTTCGCGGAGCTTTGTGAGCCCTTCCCGGAAGACCTGGCGCGGCAAATTCATCAGTGCCTCTCCACACTGGAGGCACCTGGGGTGGAGTCCAGTGAGCTGTAGTTCGTAGCACCCGAACAATTTCAGTGGTTTGGGGTTTGGTTTAGACAAATTTGTGCGATGGTCAACAGGGTTTCGTCATGTTTCGTCACTATATATGCCAATTGAATCCAATTAATCACATCAAGTCCAAGAACAGTGTATGCGTTGGTTTTTCTTTCTGTTTCCGATGCCCAAGTGAGGTACCCCAAGATCAGATGACCATAGCCGTGGTCGCTCAGAACGGCGAGGGCTGCGATTTTATTGATGTGAGCAGTGGTGCAACAGCTGCTGAGGCTGGTGACATTGACTCGGTTTGGATCAAGTCTGTTGGTCAAATAGCTGGAGCTCAACATCACTGCAGCCATTCACATATAGACAAGAAGCACGGCCCTGTTTTAGGAGAAAAGGTCTTTCGGACAGTACTGTATCCAGGTTATTGAAACACAGCTCTTGGCTCTTCAAAGCTCGCTGCTGGATGTTGTTTCTCCAAACCGTTTCCGTCGCAGAAGCGGCCGCCGAAGGGCTCAAAATCTCAAAGACGTTTTTGTGGACCCCCCTAGAGCCAGTACTATAGGTGACCTCCCTAGATTTTTGAACAAATGGGGTCCTTCGGATTTTTGACCCCCCTATTACGCTGTACTATTACATCAGCGACTCCTCCGGAGTGATCCAAGAATGTGGCTGTGGGTCACATCCTCCACAAAACCACTGAAGGTTCACACCATTTTTATGGAGGAACCATTTTGTTCTGGGTCTTGACGGTCAGGTTTCCCACACCCTTATTGGGCGTTTTGGTTCCTGATAGATGATATCGATCCATTGGACGAGCCTTCGACGCTTCACGGGGACCGGCAGGTCATTGAGGTCCTGGCCCGAGAGGAAAGCAGGCGCCGACCGCGGGAAACGGCGGGGCGCCACATGTGGCGGTTGGTGTTTCCGAGAGATCTGCCGTCCGGTCCGAGAGCTGGGCGAGACAGTTTCTGTGTCGGGTACCGGGTCTGAGTTCTAGTTCAACACACATCCCTGAGAGTATGGATCGGTCAATTACCCTCTTATAAATCTTACAATATCCTACCATCAGGAAGGTGCCCATGGACCATTCGAGAGAAAGCGAGCACACCGCCGCTAGCGCTAGCTGCCTTTATGGCTGTCCCACCAACAAAGCCCAGACCGGCAAAACATGCAACTTGACGACCCAGCTGCTCCAAGGACGTGTGGCCAGCTGCTCTCGTTGGGAGCCTGAACTTGCCACCTAATAGAGGATTTGAGTATTTAACTTCATGCTGTCGGCTGTAGTTGTATTTAAGG